GCGGGTTCTCGTACTTCGGCTTCCCCTGCCAATCTTCATTCCACCAAATTCACCCGGGGCAGGCTACAATAGGCCAATCAGTGGCCGTCGTGCCGAGTGGACCCAGTTGGACTCCACCCCCCACTAAGCGAATTAAAAAAAATGATAATAAATAGCGTCGTGGATCACAACGGTACGCAATTCAACCTTAAAAATATCTCTAATTAATTGAATTATTATTACTGTTATTGTAACTATCACAGTGCTACTACGGAGCCGGGATAGCGCAGTCGGTATAGCGACTGGCAGGACGACCGAGGGGTCGGATTTCGAGTCCCGGTAGTGTCCAGGATTTTCTCTTCTCCACGTCGTCCAGACCGGCTTTGGGGTTCACCAAACCTCATGTTCAATGGGTACTGGGGCTCTTTCGCCGGAGGTAAAGCAGCCGGGGCGTGAAGCTGACCACTCGCCTCCATTTAGTGCCGAGGACAAGAAAATGCGGACCTATACATCTAATCCCCCATACGCCTTCATGGTGTAGTGCTTAATTAGTTAATAACAGGAACAAGTTTACCTTCTTACTATTAGTAGTAGTTTACACCACTACCACTCGGCTTAGGACCACTGTTCGGACATAGAAGTGAAATAGACGGTGATATTTTAGATAAGCATCTGAAAGGACGTCATGGATTGGTTTATCGTTTACAGTTTACGTAACCACGGTGACAGGAACTCATAGCGTCGAATAAATGGATAATATTAAATATCGAATTGGAAAAGAAGTGGGCGGAAAGGTGCATGGTTTATTTACGGTATTTTCCTAGAAACTGACCGGACAGACTGAATAAAACCACAAGGAGCCTCAGTGTGGATAGCTGGAGACCCGACAGAAATTCAAACTGGACATCTGCCGAATACAGGTCGGACGCGTTACCGCTTGAACCAAGTTGCTCGCTGTCACGGAAGGGGAACCGACATGTTTCAGGGCTCTTTTCGCTACAACAACATTTTCGTAAACATAACATTCATTGTCGTGGTTCTCCATCTTAGGATTGAAGCGTCTTTAACCCTTTATGGAAAAAGTAGGCGTACATAGGCCCAAAATCAATATGACTATAAAGAAGTTTGATGTTCACGTTGCAACTGTTTCAGTCGACCGGTTTCGGCGCTTGATACGTTTTTCTCTCGAAACTCACAGATATCGATTTTTTCTTGAGCCGTACATTGACCACGGCCCCTGCAGTAGGATCATTTGTAGTCGTGTTGTAGTTTCAATGGCGTGCTCTTGAATCAGTACATTACATAGGGGTCAATATACTATGAGCGAGACGTACAGTTGGGGAGGTAGGGGAGTGAGGACACATAGAAATGTTCCTTCCATTAAACAGTTGCGAAGCAGTTTGAACAATGTATCGTCACAGTGATGCTGTACATGAGTATATGACAGATAAATTATGCGTAGCAGTTCCACTATAGGCCTCCTAATTTAATTTTTTTTTATTTGCTATCCCTGTAACAGGCCGTGAAGGCCCATAGGGTTGTGAGACGTCGAGGCTTCCGCATTTTCTAGATAGTCAGCTCACAGATGGCTGTGAGGTCGGCCTTAGTGGCCGGCCGCCCTTTACTCTAATGAATATTTTTTATTATTATTATTCTTAGTGAGTCCATTTGGCACTGCGGTCCCTAGTGGCCTATTTACCAGCCACAGATGATGGTGATTGTGGAGCAATTGGTGGAATGAAGATTGGCAGGGGAAACCGAAGTACTCTGAGAAAACCTGCACCAGCGCCACTTTGTCCACCACAAATCCCACATGACCAGACCCGGCCTCGAACCCGGGCTACAGCGGTGTGAAGCCAGCGATTAACCGCCTGAGTAATGGCGCTGCCTTATCTCTATGAAGATTCCTGGTACTAATTTATGTTAGAGTCTAAGTCGACCCCAGGGCCATAGTACGGCTAGAAGGATTAGGTAAATTGAGAAAAAATCCAATGACCTCATCGGGAATCTAACCCACGACATTCCGGCTTGTAGCATAGTAGTTACTATAGGATTCTGACGATGGAGTATAACACACTGATATGTTGGGTTTTTGGACTTTATCCATCGTCCTGGTTTTTAAGATAACAAATAAAAACATAGCATAGCATAGCATAGTTGTAGCATAGTACCTCAGCCAACTACGCTACCGCATGCTTCTCACTATAGGCCTCTATTTTGTCTGTTCACATAAAGGCACCCTGAACACCCCAAAATATGCAGCATCGAATGACTGAATGGTGAATACTGAACTGGTTAAAAATGTGGAAGTACTTGAGGTACTATCCCGGCATTCGGCTGAAGGCACTGAGGAAAACCACGAAAATATTCAGTCAGGATAGTCGGTCTCTGGAACGAGAAATGAATCCGAGAGCTTCCCCGTACGCAGTAAGTACATGACGATTATAATGTGTTAAGAGGTTGTTTTGTCGGAGGGCTTAAAGGGCGCAAGACTGAACATTCATCCCATCTAGCACCGAGGTTATGAGCTGCAGACTTTTGTCTTTATGTTGTGGTAATTAAGTACGGGGACAACTTTAACTTTACCTACACTGTGTCGCAGGGGTCAGTGACTTGGTCAATCAATATTCGAAGTTAAAGTTTTTAGATTTCTGTCATCTGGCAGGCAATATATCGTGCCTTTTGTGTTGCAGTTCGTCATATGGAACCAATGCAGTGAACTGCATTAGTCCCCAATGGGGACTGATACCATATTGGTAACTGTGGTTACTGTATCAAGCATACCGGTAAGTATACCCTTTTAAGCATCACGTTCGTCTACATAGAATTTTAAAACTTTTGGGAATCCCCGTTGAAATTTAACGGGCGATCATCACCCCCCTCTCTCCGTCAAATCAGTGAACTGAGTTACATTTTTTATTCTTGAAACGGCACAGCTTAGAACACAGAGCTTCCGTACGCGTAAATTCATGACAGCTACTACTGTGCGAGAATTACGTAACACATACATGGGCAGATAACACGGCATACGCCTCCAGGCGTCGCCTGCTCGTCATTTTGAAAAAATCATGACGAAGGTGAATGCGTTAGAATAATTAGAATTAGTGTCTTGAGACAGCGGATGCATAATTTTTATTGTTTAATTAATTGTGAATTTCATAATATAGTTGCCCTTACAGTAGAGTGATTTACTGAAATTCATCCAAATAACATTTAAAATTCAGTTCCTACCTCTAAGAAAATACATTGTGTCTCTATTGAAAATATCAACCGGTTGATGATGTTTAGGATAATAATCGTTGTTTGTTTTAAGAATCACACGAAACATAAAAGTTCACTGTGTGGAAGAGGAACAGAGATTTGAGATTTCAAAACAGGCTTTACGTAGTACATTATGATTTTCCTCCTATAAAATGCATATCCATACCGTACCACACGTTTTCGGTCCATTTTTTATTAACCCTCCTATCAATCAACGTTGTATGTATAGTCTAAGTAACTGACAGCATAGCTAAATAAGCTACAGACAAATCCCTGTGCTTCCACACTAACAAACTCGTCGCCATCTTGTCTAATAGAACAGCAGTTTTGTCTTCAGATGAAAACTCAAGATAATCATGCCTATCTATCCTGTCTTGGAGAACGGTTATGCTTTCTGAGGGGTCTCATGATTTTCTTTAATCCTCCTGGCGAATTTTAAGAATTATTCCTCGAAATTAACCATGACTCCTTACTCCCCAACAAAGCGGCCTCCGTAGTCTAGAGGTAACGTTCCCACCTTATGACTCGTGGTACGCGGGTTCAAACCCGGCGGAGGTCGTCGCATTTTTAAGGGCGGAGAAATTCAGGGAACA